AAATGTGAGAATTACCAAAATGTGACAAATGCTGTTGGAAAAATGGCACCCATAGACTTGCTTGACATAGAGTTGCAAAAATTCTTCAATTTGTAAAAAAAAAAAAAAAAAAGCAACAGTTGCAAATGGCAATAAAGGGAAGCAAAAAAAGACAAAGTATATATATTTTTCTTATTTTGGCAAAGCATTTGCCAAAAATCAACATATGTACATAATGAAAACTATCTGAAAACCAGGAATACATGGGAACTTCCTCAACTTGATAAAGAAAATCTACAAAATGCCTACAGCTAGCATTATACTTGATAGTGAAAAGCTGAAAGTTTTCTCACTACAATTCGGAACAAGGCAAGGATATATGCTCCTACTACTCCTAATTGAAATCGTTCTAAATTCCAGGCAGTGCAATAAGGCAAGATAAAAATAAACAGTATACAAATTGGAAAAAAAATAATAGTATCCCTATTAGCAGATGATACACTTGTCTATGTGGAAAATCCCAAGGCACCTACAAAACATTCCAAGAACTAATAAGTGAATTCAGCAAGGTCTCAGGACACAACATCAACATAAAATAAAATGTACTTCTAATACTAGCAGTGACCGTATGAACAAGAAAATTGAAAATGCAATATCATTTACAATTTATGTTTGGCCAAAAGGCTGAAATACTTAGGTATAAATCTAACAAAACATAGAGAGGATCTGTATGATGAAAACTACATAATGCTGATGAAAACATATTAGGAAAAATCTAAATAGATGGAGAGGCATAAATTTATGGATTGCAATACTTAGAAATATGTCAATTTTCCCTAAATAAATATACAGAGTTAAGAAAATTCCAACAGAAACCATAGCAAAACGTTTGATAGATATAGACAAGATGGCTATAAAATGTATACAGAAAGGTAAAGAAACAAACAGTTAAAACAATTTTGAAAAGAAGAAAGTGGGAAGAAACATTCTTCCTGATTTGAACAGTTATATAGTCACAGTAATCAAGATTGTGTGAAATTAATGCTGGAAGAGACAGGCAAGTGGAACTGAAATAGATCCACATGACTATGCCTAATTTTTGGCAGAGGAGAAAATTCAAGTTGTTGTTCCAAAAATGGAATGCTGTAGCAATTGGGCATCCATAGGTAATAAACCTCTACCTAATTTTCATGTCTTATAATAAAGTCACACAAAATGGATCGAAGACTTAAATGTAAAAAAGAAACTATAAATCTTCTAGGAGAAAAAAAAAGCAGAAAAAAATACATAGGATCCAGGGCTAGGCAGATGTTTAGACGTGACACCAAAAGCACAATCCATAAAAGAAAAATCGATAAACTAAATTTTATCAAAATGTAAAACTTTTGTTCTGCAAAATACCCTGTTAAGAAGATGAAAGACAAACTATAACCTAGGAGAAAATATTTAACTGCATATCAAGTAAAGGACCAGTATCTAGAATGTACTCTCAAAACTCAGGAGTAAAAATAAATCAAATTAGAAAGTAAAAGGCATGGAAATGCATTTTAGCAAAAAAAGGATATACAGATGGCAAATACACACGTAAAAAGATGATCAACAACACTAGCCACTAAGAAAATGCAAATGTGCCATGGAAAAATGTGGCACATATACACCATGGAATATTATGCAGCAATCAGAAATGATGAGTTTGTGTCGTTTGTAGGCACATGGATGAATCTGGAGAACGTCATCCTCAGCAAACTGACACAAGAACAGAAAATGAAACACCGCATATTCTCACTCATAGGCGGGTGATGAAAAATGAGAACACATGGACACAGAAAGGGGAGTACTAAACACTGGGGTCTATTGGGGGGAAAAGGGGAGGGCCAGTGGGAGGGGGAGGTGGGGAGGGATAGCCTGGGGAGAAATGCCAAATGTGGGTGAAGGGGAGAAGGAAAGAAAAGCACACTGTCATGTGTGTTCCTACGCAACTGTCTTGCATGCTCTGCTCATGTACCCCAAAACCTAAAATCCAATAAAAATTAAAAAAAAAAAGAAAATGCAAATGAAAAACACAAATGAGATATCACTGTACACCTATGAGATGTGCTAAAATACAGAGTAGTCCAATAAGCACAACAAAAGATGCCCAGCATCATTACTCATCAGGGAAATGTCATGAGATACACTTCATTCCCACTAAGATGGCTATTAACAATAATAATAAGTGTTGATGAAGATGTGAAAAAATTAGAAACTTTATACATTTGCTGGAAGAAATATAAAATGGTATATCTACTTTGCAAAACAGTCTGATAGTTTCTCAGTAAGTTAAATAAAAAGTTAGCACATGACCCAGCAATTCCATTCCCTGGGTATATACTCATGAGAACTGAAACCATTTGTCAACAAAAAGCCTTGTAAAAAATGTTCATAGCAGCATTATTTATAACAACCAAAAGACAGAAACAACCCAAATGTTCCTTAACTAATAAAGGGAAAATGAAATGTAGTATATCTATAAATGGAATATTGTTTAGGCATTAAAATTAATGAAGTACTGATACAGGCTACCACATGCATAGACCTAAAAATCATATAAATTAGAAGAAACTAGTCACAAAAGACCACAAATTTTATGATTACATTTAGATGAAATGTTCAGAATAGACAAATTTGTTAAAACAGAAAGTAGATTAGTGGTTGCCTTGGGCTGGAGGGAATGGGTTAATTGGGAGATGATGGCTAGAAAATGCAGAAGTGCTTTTTGGGGTAATGAAAATGTTCTAACATAGATTTTCATGATGAAATCATAACTCCAAATATATTAAAAGCCACAAAATTGTATAATTTAAGCAGGTGTATTTTATGATATATAAATTATATCTCAGTAAAGCTGTCCTCAAAGTAAAATATAATGAAGGCAACAATAACCTGGTGACTAATTAGTATTTTAGTCTATGTACTCTAGGAATATGCTGAAGGAGGTAGTTTATCTTGAATCGTACTAGTAGTTGAATTAACCCCTAAGTACTAGCACCATGGTGAAACTGGAAGTTGCAGGCAAAAGCTGGGGCAAACCCTGAAAACCTTGACTATATGTATACTCGGCATCACATAATTACATTTTGGTCAATAATGGATCACATATATGATGGTGGTCCCATAAGATTATGATAGAGCTGAAAAATTCCCATTACCTAGTGACTCTGCAACCATTATAACATTGTAGCATAAGGCATTACTCATAATGTTTGTGGTGATGCTGGTGTAAACTTACTATGCTGCCAGTCATACAAATGTAGAGCATATGCAGTTATATACAGTACATAATACTTGACAATAATAATAAAAAAGTTACTGGTTTATGTATTTCCTTCACTACACTTTTATTGTTATTTTTAGAGTGGACTCCTTCTACTTGTTTTTTTTTAAATGTTAACTGTAAAACAGCCTCAGACAGGCCCTCCAGGGGTATTCCAGAAGAAGGCATTGTTACCATAGTAGGTGACAGCTTCATGCATGAAATTGCCCCTGAAGCTCTCCTAGTGGGACAAGATGTGGAAGTAGGAGAGAATAATATTGATAATCCTGGCCCTTTGTTGACCTATGTTAATGTGTAATTCTGTCTTACTTTTAACAAAAAGTTTTAAAAGTAAAAAAAAATTAAAATATAAGAGCTTACAGAATAAGGATATAAAGAATATATATTTTATATAGCTACACAATGTGTTTGTGTTTTCAGCTAAGTGTTATTATAAACAATTCAAAACATTAAAACATTTCTACAGTTCAGGGAGTTATAAGTTATAGTAAGCTAAGATTCATTTATTATTAAAGAAAATTTTAAATATAAATTTACTGTAGCCTAAGCATATGGTGTTTATAAAGTTTACAGTATGTATAGCAATGTCCTAGGTTTTCACATTCAATCACTCTCACTCACTGACTCATCCTGAACAACTTCTAGTTTTGCAACCTCCATTCACCATAAGTGTTGAATACAGGTGTACTATTTTTAATCTTTTATACCATATTTTTACTGTCTCTTTTCTATGTTTAGATACACAAACACTTATCTTTGGGTTACAATTGCCTGCAGTATTTACTATAGTCACAGCTGGAGAAATTTGTAGCCGAAGAGTAAGAGGCTATACCATATAGTCTAGCTGTGTAATAGACTTGTATCCGTCCATTCTAATGCTGCTATAAAGAACTGCCCAAGACTAGAAAGGAGGTTTGACTCACAGTTCCACAGGGCCAGGGGAGGCCTCAGGAAACTTACAAGTGTGATACAAGGGGAAGCTAACATGTCCTTCTTCACATGGCAGCAAAAGGGAAAAGTGCCAAGCAGTAGTGGGAAAGCCCCTTATAAAACCATCAGATCTTGTGAGAACTCACTCACTATCACGAGAACAGCATGAGAGTAATTCTCCCATAATTACATTACTTCCTATCAAGTCCATCCCATGACACATGGGGATTATGGGAACTAGAATTCAAGGTGAGATTTAGCTGGGGACACAGAGCCAAACCATATCAAGATTACACCATCTAGGTTTGTGTAAGTATACTCTATGATATTTCTATAATGACAAAATTGCCTAACAATCCATTTCTCAGAAAGAATCCCTATAGTTAAGTGATACATGGCTGTACTCAAAAGCTTCACCTTATGACTAGAGACCCCTTTTTCCATATCTTCTTTGTTAACACTGACCTAGGTCCTTACTATCTCATAATTGATGACCAAGATTAAATAATTGGTCTTTTTCCTTTTATTCTCTGCCCCACAAAGCTTTAACCTACATTTGCACATCATCTCCTTGTGAGTTAAAAAGTTCTAGTAGCATTCCACTATCAAGAGCTAAACATGCAAAGTTTTTCAATCAAGGTCCTTCCTAATCTGGCCACCTCCTAACTTTTTGAACTCTTTAATATACTCCCCAGGTGATCTCATTCACCTCTTCTTTTTTAAACTATCAACTAAGTTACTAATGGCTTCCATGTCTAGATCTCCAATCTCAACCTACATTCATATGAGTATCCATCTCCACGTGAATGTCTTCCATAGGCACTTCACAGGCTCTGGAACCAGACTGAGTTTGAATCTCGGCTTCAACTTGTGCTGTGTGACCCTGAAAAAGTTACATAATCTTATATGAAAATGGAAATACTAATAATTTTAACTACCTTATAAGACTGTTATGAGGTTTAAATTAATTAATACACATAAATTGCTTAAGACATCACTGCAGTGTGGTAAGTGCTCAGTTCATGTTAGCTCAAATTACAATTACTATTATTCACCAACCTAAATGTATCATCTTCCTGTCTTACTTGGTCCTTCCAATGTGTTCTTTGCTCATTATTTCTCCAGTCTCCAAAAGCAAAAACTTGGGGCTCTTAAAACTACCTCAATCCTTTTCTTCTTGTTAAATCAAGAACCAATAGCTAATGGTTTTACCCATTTTATCCTAAGTGCTTTCTTCCCTCTCTATCACGATTACCTATACTCAATTTTAGGCATTCATCTCCTTTAAGAACTATAATACCTCCTACACAATCTCCCATCCTCTGATCTTGTCTTCTTCAAATCCATCCTCGAAACTACCCACAGAACAATGTACATAAAAAGTAAATTAAAACAAATAAATAGAATGCAAGTCTGACCAAGTCATGTCCATATTTACAATTCTGTAATGGCAATTCATACACTTGCTTAAGCACAATGCCCTCCACAAACCTCTTTACTTATCTAATTCATTAGTATATCTACCAATTTATCTACTTACCTAATTTATACCCTTCAAAGCTGTTGATTAGTGGATGCACATAAAACCTACCATAGTATTTGTGCAGCCGTCGATCTGTATTACTTGCATTTCATTTCTTTATGAATATATTCTCTTGGAATATTGAGTTTTATACTCCCCAAAGTCTAGAACCATTGCTTATATCTCTCTATATATTTTACCTCAATATTTTCTAAACTACATGCCAAAACCAGTTAAATCAATTAAGAGCATCACACTTTGTTTTAAAAAATGAAATAGAATAAAAGATATCAAAGAGCACTGCACATAAGAAGGATAAAATGCCAGTTATCAGTTTATTGCCTTCAATTCCAGGAGATCTCAGCACCCTTGTCCAACAAATGGTGAAAAGCAGCATGCAGCATCTCCCCATGGGAAGCTTCTCTCTGGCAACCCTTTAGGCATAGAGTGCCATCAGTGCAGCTTCTTCCCATAAACTTCTCTATCAAAACCCAGGTGGTTCCAAAAAAAGTTGCTCGCATGGCACCTCCCCATAAATAGCTTCCCCTAGTACCTCCTCAGGCAGCTTTGAAGTAGGCTCCAAAGAAGGGTACCTCTTCAGGAATGATTCCCCTTAGCATTCCAGAAAGCAATTTCCCCAGATTCTCTGTGAGTCATTTCAGTGTAACATCTCAGCTAACTTCTCTACCAACCAGTGAGTCATGACCATGACCTTTCCAACAAAGTCCAGATCTCAGTTCAGGCAGGGAGAAAGATGGTCTTCTAGGTTTATTCCTTCCATGGGCACTCTATCCCAGCACTAAGAGTAGTAGCTGCTTCCTATGTCTGCTATTCCTACACTCATTTTCTAATTTTTTAAAAAAATTTACTATAAGTTCTGGGACCTATGTGCTGAATGCACAGGTTGAATACATAGGCATACACGTGCCATGGGGGTTTGCTGCACCTATCAATCAACCATCAAGGTTTTAAGCTGGGCATGTATTATGTATTTTTTAATGGTCTCCCTCCCCTTGACCCCTACCCCCTGACAAGCCCCAGTGTATGATGTTCCCCTCCTTGTGTCCATGTGTTCTCATTGTTCAACTCCTACCTATGAGTGAGAACTTGTGGTGGTTGGTTTTCTGTTCCTGTGTTTGTTTGCTGAGGATGATGGTTTCCAAGTTCATCCAAGTCTTCGCAAAGGAAATGAACTCCTTCTTTATGGTTGCATAGTTTTCCACAGTGCCACATTTTCTTTATCCAGTCTATTATTGATGAGCATTTGGGTTGGCTCCAAGTCTTTGCTATTGTAAATAGTGCTGCAATAAATATACGTGTGCATGTGTTTTTACAGTAGAAGGATTTCTAATCCTTTGGGTAGACACCCAGTAATAAAACTGCTGGATGAAATGGTATTTCTATTTCTAGATCCCTGAGATATCACCCCACTCTTTTCTACAATGTTGAACTAATTTACACTCCCACCAACAGTGTAAAAGTACTCCGATTACTCTGCATCTTCACCAGCATATGTTATTTCCAAACTTTTTAATAATCACCATTCTAACTGGCATGAGATGGTAACTCATTGTGGTTTTAACTTGCATTTATCTAATGACCAGAGATAATGGGCTTTTTTATAAGTTTGTTATACACGTAAATGTCTTCTTTTGAGAAGTGTCTGTTCATATCCTTCACCCACTTTTTGATAGGGTTGTATTTTTTTTTGGTAAATACTTTTAAATTCATTGTAGATTCAGGATATTAGACTTTTGTCAGATAGATTTCAAAATTTTTTTTCCCATTCTAAAGGTTGTCTGTTCACTCTGATAATAATTTCTTTTGCTGAGCAGAAACTCTTTAGTTTAATGAGATCCCATTTGTCAATTTTCACTCTTGTTGCAGTTGCTTTTGATGTTTTAGTCATAAAGTCTTTGAACATGCCTATGTCCTGAATGCTATTGCTTAAGTTTTTTTCTAAAGTTTTTATGGTTTTAGGTTTTATATTTAAGTCTGTAATCCATATTGTTACTTTTTGTATAAGGTCTAAGGAAAGGGTCCAGTTTCAGTTTTCTGCTTATGGATAGCAAGTTTACCCAGCATTATTTATTAAATAGGAAATCCTTTCCCCATTGCTTTTGTCAGGTTTGTCAAAAATCAGATAATTGTAGACATGTGGTGTTATTTCTGAGGCGTTTGTTCTGTTCTATTGGCCTGTATATCTGTTTTTGCACCAGTGCCATGCTGTTTTATTTACTGTAGCCTGTAGTATAGTTTTTAGTCAGGTAGCATGATGTTTCCTGCATTGTTCTTTTTTGCTTAGGATTGATGTTGTTATACGAGTTCTTTTTTTGGTTTCATATAAAATTTAAAGTAGTTTTTCTTTTTCTAATTCTATGAAGAAAGTCAATAGTAGCTTAATGAAAATAGTAATGAATCTATAAATACTTTGGGCAGTATGGCCATTTTCACAATACTGATTCTTCCTATTCATGAACATGGAATGTTTTTCCATTTGTATATGTACTCTCTTATTTCCTTGAGCAGTGGTTCATAGTTCTCCTTGAAGGTATCCTTCAGGTCTCTTGTAAGCCCTATTTCTAGGTATTTTATTTGCTTTGTAGCAATTGTCAATGGGAGTTCACTAATGACTTGGCTCTCTGCTTGTCTATTATTGGTGTATAATAATGTTTGTGACTTTTGCCCATCGATTTTTTATCCTGAGATTTTGCTGAAGTCGCTTAACAAATTAAAGAGTTTTGGGGCTAAGCCAGTGGGCTTTTCTAAATATACAAACATGTCTGAAGAGACAATTTGACTTCCTCTCTTCCTATTTGAATATCCTCTATTTCTTTCTCTTTTCCGATTGACCAGAACTTCCAATACTGTGTTAAACAAAAGTGCTGAGAAAGGAGATCCTTGTCCTGTGCCCACTTTCAAAGGGAATGCTTCCAGCTTTTGCCCATTCAGTATGATATTGACTATGAGTTTGTCATAAATAGCACATTGTTTTGAGATACACCCCATCAATACCTAGTTCATTTAGAGTTTTTAGCATGAAGGGGTGTTGAATTTTATTGAAGGGCTTTTTTGCACTTATTGAGATAATCAAGTGTTTTTTGTCATTGGTTGTTTATGTGATGGATTACATTTATTGATTTGTATATGTTGAACCAGACTTACATCCCAGGAATGAAACTGACTTGATTGTGGTGGAGAAAATTTTTGATGTACTGCTGGGTTGAGTTTGGCAGTATTTTACTGAGGATTTTCACATCAATGTTCATCAGGAATATTGGCCTAAAACTTTCTTTTCTTGTATGTCTCTGCCAGGTTTTAGTATCAGGATGATACCAGCCTCACGAAATGACTTAGGGAAAACTCCCTCTTTTTCTATTGGAAATAGTTTCAGAAGAAATGGTATCAGCTCCTCTTAGTACCTCTGAAAAAATTCGAGTGTGAATCTATCTAGTCCTGTGCGTTTCTGGTTGGTAGGCTGTTAATTACTGCCTCAATTTCAGTACTTGTTACTGGTCTATTCAGGGATTCAACTTCTTTTTGGTTTAGTTTTGGGAGAGTGTATGTGCCCAGGAATTTATCCATTTCTTATAGATTTTCTAGTTTATTTGCATAGAGATGTTTATAGTATTCTCTGATGGTAGTTTGTATTTCTGTGGGATCAGTGGTAATGTCCCTTTCATCATTTTGGCTATTGGTCTATCTAGTTTGTTAATATTTTCACAAAACTAGCTCCTGGATTCATGAATATTTTGAATGTTTTCTTGTGCCTCTAGCTTCTTCAGTTCTTCTCTGATATTATTTCTTGTCTTCTGCTAGCTTTTGAATTTGTTTGCTCTTGTTTCTCTAGTTCTTTTAATGTGATGTCAGGGTGTCAAATTTAGAGATTGCCTGCTTTCTCTTTTGGGCATTTAGTGCTGTAAATTTCTCCCTAAACACTGCTTTAGCTGTGTCTCAGAGATTCTAGTATATCATCTCTGTGCTCTCACTGGTTTCAAATGACTTATTTCTGCCTTAATTTTGTTATTTATCCAGTAGTCATTCTGAAGCAAGACATTCAGGTATCACAGAGATGTTCAGTTTTGAGTGAGTTTCTTAATCCTGAGTTCTAATTTGATTGCACTGTGGTCTGAGAGACTGCTATGATTTCCATTCTTCTGCATTTGCTGAGAAGTATTTTACTTCCAATTATGTGTGGTTCATTTTAGAGTAAGTGCTGTATGGTGCGGAGGAAAATATATATTCTGTTGATTTGGGCTGGAGAGTCCTATAGATGTTTATTAGGTCTGCTTTGTCCATAGCTGAGTTAAAGTCCTGAATGTTCTTCTTAATTCTCTGCCTTGCTGATCTATCTAATATTG